TTACTGTTTCATTGATGCTAAACAGGGCATCCACATCTTCTCTTTATGGTTGCTATTTTTACATTCCTCCTTGCTACTGGGTTGGAAATCTTTGTCCTTACACTTCAAAACTTTAATTGCAGGAATTGCTTTGGTAAGAAAAACGTTTGTTTGTGTTCATATATTTGAGGGTAGAGGGGAGGAGGAAGCTAAATCATGCACTGAAAAATGGAAGGGAAAAAAACCGTCTCTGAAATTATTTATTTCTCAGAAAATGTATAATCCATTTCAAAATTCAAATAGAAAATTCTTATACCCGAGTGCAATAAGACATCTAATTTAAAAATATGTACATATAGCTACAGCAGCAACAACAAATACAAAACAGGGAAAAAACGTACCTTTTGATTAAACCAAGTTGTATTTTGTCTTGCAAAACCATGATAGATGTACTTGATAATCATACATGACATTATCATAGCAGAATATCATAAGAATATAATAATAATACTATGAAGATAATGTCTACTTCAAAATAAAGCCATATTCTCATAATTATCCTAAACTGGCAATATCTTCAGAAAAGCACGATACCAAGTGAGGAGAGGAAAACCAACCTGCAGATAACTACCTAAAGGAAGGAGCCTTATAAACTGTCTTTGTGTCCCTATGACATCTAGAACCCTGTTATGCATAGATGGGTGAGCAGGTAGGGTAGTGTAGCCTTACGTTGGTCAATATTTGTGTGACAATGACATGGAAGATTGGCCTGTATTACTTCAATCTGCAGGTGGAGGATGCTCTTTCTGAATGTTCCCCTAACAAATGAAGAAATGATTTAAATCCAACCTATACATTACCATTCCACTGAAAGAACATATTTTTGGTTTGTTCACTGAGTTGTTAATTGTTTGAAAAATGGGGTTCCCTATTACAACTAGAAGCTGGGCATTTTATTGTCCTACGTTTTAACTCATTCCTTCTTCATTTGGGGGCTTGTGTAGATGGGATCCTGCTTGCAAAGATTCTGGAGAACAGGAATAGTACATATAAGACCAGAGAAGCACATTAAACATAGACAGTATTAATACAGAATGCTGTTCAAATTAGAAAACTCTATAAATGTGTGTATTCTTCATTAACCGTTGCCACAGTGTACTAGGCCCCACAAGGGTGGGGAGGTGTTCTTCAGCTGAGGTCAAGAAAAACTCATTTTAAAACACGTCAGAACATTTTCCCATTCCTACTGCTTCTTTATCAAGAGTTCCTTTTATACAATTATATACATAGTATTATCAAAATAGGGTGATGATCACTATTGAAGTCACAATTTCTTAATTAAAATTTCTGTTTCAGTGGTTATTAATTTTTAATTTTCACATTTTTATCCTCTTTCCTTCAAGAAGCTCTCATTTTAAAACACGTCAGAACATTTTCCCATTCCTACTGCTTCTTTATCAAGAGTTCCTTTTATACAATTATATACATAGTATTATCAAAATAGGGTGATGATCACTATTGAAGTCACAATTTCTTAATTAAAATTTCTGTTTCAGTGGTTATTAATTTTTAATTTTCACATTTTTATCCTCTTTCCTTCAAGAAGCTAAAGACGCAGACTTTATTATTATTATTATTATTATTATTATTATTATTATTATTATTATTATTATTATTATTATTATTATTATTATTATTATTATTATTATTATTGTTGATTATTATTATTATTTTATGTTCAACTTCTATATGGCCATAATTAGGAAGGTGCACTTTGCCCCTAGTGAGCTGGGTACTCATTTTACCTACCTTGGAAGGATGGAAGACTGAGTCAACCTCAAGCAGATTACCTGAACTGGTTGGGATCAAACTCAGGTCATGAGCAGAGGCTTGACTGCAGTAATGCAATTTAACCACTGCACCATGGGGCTTCTGTGTTCCTCCACATAGTAAAGGTAAAGGTAAAGGTTCCCCTTGACAATTTTTGTCCAGTCGTGTTCGACTCTAGGGGGCGGTGCTCATCCCCGTTTCCAAGCCATAGAGCCAGCGTTTTGTCCAAAGACAATCTTCCGTGGTCACATGGCCAGTGCGACTTAGACACGGAACGCTGTTACCTTCCCACTGAAGTGGTCCCTATTGATCTACTTGCATTTGCATGCTTTCGAACCGCTAGGTTGGCAGGAGCTGGGACAAGCGACGGGAGCTCACTCTGTCGCGTGGATTCGATCTTAGGACTGCTTGGTCTTCTGACCCTGCAGCACAGGCTTCTGCGGTTTAGCCCGCAGCGCCACCATGTCCCTGTTATATGTATACATATTTAGAATTATAGCACTGCATACCAGACTTGTCTGTGTCTGCTCACATCAGAACAGAGTCACTAGGAATTCATATAATCTAAACCTTATACAGTGGTGCCTCGCAAGATGATGTTAATTCGTTCCACGAAAATCACTGTTAAGCGAAAACATCGTCTTGCTAAAAACGTTTTCCCATTGAAATGCATTGAAAACCTGATAATCCGTTCCAATGGGAACGGATTGTCATCGTAAAGCGAAAATTGCCATAGGAAACATCGTTAAGAGAAATGCGATTCCCAAGCAAAGACAGCCATCTAACGAAAGAGACCATTAAAAGACTCGTATAGCGAAGCAAGATCAAGCTGTCAAAAACATCGTAAAGCAAAAAACAGGGACCTAAAATTTAACCGTCTTGTGAGGCAAGGTCCCTAACATCGTAAAGCGAAAATCGCCCATAGGAAACATCGTTAAACAAAGCGCAAGATCGCTCCGGAAACCTCATCGTAAAGCGAATTCGTCATCATGCGAAGTAATTGTCTTGCGAGGCACCACTGTACCTAGAAAACCCTGGGAAGGTCACCATAAGTGGGAAGAAACTAAAGAAGCACATCCTATTATTAACACCATGCAATGTGTCTTAAAGGTAAAGGTAAAGGTTCCCCTTGACATTTTAGTCCAGTCGTGTCCAACTCTAGGGGGTGGCGCTCATCCCGCTTTTCAAGCCATACAGCCAGCGCCTGTCCAAAGACAGTTTCCATTGTCACATGGCCAGCATGACTAGGGAACGCCGTTTTACCTTCCCAACGAGATGGTACCTATTTATCTACTCGCATTTACATGCTTTCGAACTGCTAGGTTGGCGAGGAACTGGGACAAAGCGACGGGAGCTCACTCCGTTGCGTGGATTCGATCTTACGACTCTGGTCTTCAAACCCTGCAGCACAGGCTTCTGCGGTTTAGTCCACAGCGCCACCATGTCCCTTACTTGCGAGTAAATACAGAACTGGCCGCTTTAAAGCAAGATTCTGTGTAGTCTGTCAGAAAGAATACCATGCACAGCTTTGTGGGGCTGTGCGTTGGATTACCTGTACAGCCATGTTGCCCGGTCCTAGATCTGCTTACTAAGGAGTTATGTCCCACTGTGTTGAGTGGATTTTTCTTCCAGGTAAATATGTCTGCACAATCCTATCCATCTCTATGAAGGCCGGGGGGGGGGGAAGCCCCTGGCAAATGAGTACAGGGTGTTCCCTTAATTAGTTTGTTCTCTAGGTGAGAGGTATCCGGGTGGCCTTCTTTTTCTCTCTGCCACGCCTCGAAGACTTCTGGAATAGACCCCCTGCTGGGGACTCTTGATCAAAACGAAAAACAGAGAAGACCTGCTTCACACATTCACAAAAGCAGCCAAGAGTTATGGTTTGTGGTAACAGTAGGGGGGGGAAGCGGGTACCCCTTGTAGCACAGGGCATGTATGAAACTTACAAGAGCCTGACAGGGCAACGGCATTTTTAAACTTTTGCATCCTCCCTCTTCTTGGGACATGGCAGTTTAAAAAGCAGCCCAATACAAACACAGATGAACTCTCTAAGGATGGGAATCAACTCTTAAATTGGTCACTGTACGGAGTCGGCACACAAGGAGGTGCAGGCGTACCGTGTGGATGGGAGCAGAAGTTGGAAAGAGTTATTTTGGACTACAACTCCCAGGATCCCCCAGCTGGCGTGGCCATTCTGACTACACCATTCTCCCAAGCTCTGGGTGAGAGAAAAATGAGTGTTTATACACCCTTTTAGGCTTTGCACCTCTGAACAAGCCTTCACTGACACCTTCGGAGTTCTGCGCAGGGCCTAGTCCAGCCTGGCGACGGTTAATGAAGAAAATCTCTCACTGGCAACAACACTACACAAATCACTTCAGACAATGGCCGTTCACAATCCGGACTTCTAGAGAGAGCTTGCACCCTTCCCTGGCATTCTGCTTGGCTCTAGGAAAGGTATTATCGCCCCACTCGGTGCTTTTATTGTATTTCTCCTGGCCCATAAGGCTCACCTTTGTTTCTCAGGGAAATTTGTTTGTTATTCTTGCAAAAAAAAAAAGTTTGTGGCGTCGCCCAAGTTTTTCCCCCGCCTTTCTGACATTTCTTTGGTGACGTGCACAGCCTCTTAGCTCTGCCACCGAGCAGGGGCTACAACGGAAGGATGAAGTGGTGCTTCAATGATACTNGCCCCCTCCTCCTCCTCCTCCTCTGCAGAGCAGGAGCAGAAACTGGGTCTGGGAGGGTGGGCGAAGGAAGCTCTTTTTGCAAGCAGGCGAGTGTAAATAAAGGCAGGGAGAAGGTGCCTTCCCTCTGCAAGCCCCTCAGGTGCAAACGAGAGGAGGGTCCGGGGCAGGAGGCGCAGCAGCAGCAGCAAAGGCCGGCTCTTCTTCCCTCCTCCTCCTCCTCCTCTGCAGAGCAGGAGCAGAAACTGGGTCTGGGAGGGTGGGCGAAGGAAGCTCTTTTTGCAAGCAGGCGAGTGTAAATAAAGGCAGGGAGAAGGTGCCTTCCCTCTGCAAGCCCCTCAGGTGCAAACGAGAGGAGGGTCCGGGGCAGGAGGCGCAGCAGCAGCAGCAAAGGCCGGCTCTTCTTCCTCCTCCTCCTTCCACGCGCCTTGCAAAGCTAGGTTCAAGCCCCACCAGGCTCCCGCGGGCCCCACTGCCCCATTCCCTCGCCCAGGCCCCGATCCTCACCTCGGTGTCATTATTCAGGTTCCAGAGATCCAAGCGGCCCATCCCGTCGACGCAGGCGAAGAGCGCGGGATGCACGGGGGACCACATGACGTCGTAGACATAGTCGGCATTGTCTTCAAAGGAGTAGAGCGGCTTGTTGTGCTGCAGAGAAGGGCGGCGGGGGAGGGAAGGAGGGAGAAAGGAGGAGGGAAGGAGAGAGAGAGAGAGAGGGGAAGCATGAAGACTTCGTGGCGCTACTGGTGCCTCAGGCTGTCTGGCGAGTCTAATTAAAAACTTTGCACATTCAACCGAGTGTCATAAAACTTCTCCCAAGATGAA